AAGCTTTTAAGTCACCAAGCCTCAAGTGTTAGAATTATGTCACTTTTGCTATTATAACTGTAGCTACTATAACCCCCCCCCCCCTTCCTGGCAAGGCTTTTCTTTGCTCATAAGAAGTAAAACGAAATTTTTTTCCACATTTTAGGATAATCTTACTATATATGCTACAACTCATGCTTCACCTTTTATGAGTGTTAAAGCAAACCAGCAGTTCAATTAAACAAAGCACAACTGACAAATAGAAAGGGGAGGTGAGAGATTTGGAAAATGAAAGGACATTGATCAAAAAATTAACACGCTCTTTGAAATTTAACTTAAAAAATGAATTCAGTGAAACTATGATTTAAAAATTCAAATAAACAAAGATAAATATTTAGATCATTTTCTGCAATTGGAAAAGGCAGTTGGTAGTTTTTGTCCAATATATAAAGTCAGAATCATATAATTCCCCAGAATTAAAAAGGCAAGGTTGGAAACATGTATGGAATGTTGGCTGACATGAAAAAAATGCAATGAAAAGTTGTCTAAGGAAAGTTAAAAAATCTCATCCTAACATCTGGTGAGGGATAGATATAAGGTGAGATTAAAGAGCATCAACATTACTATTAATTAGAAGCCATTCTAAAGTATTTTATCAGATTTTGAGTAAAAAAAATACTATTGGATTGTTATTTTAAGTCTTTCTGTATTTATGCAGTCCTTTCAAGCTTTCCAAACTTCCAGCCATTCTATAAAAAAGCTTCCAGTCCTTTCAAACTTCCAGCCATTCTATAAAAAAGCTACAAGGTACATAATTTCAAAATCGACTGAAGTCAGGAATTGTTTGACTATATGAAAAATACTTTTGACATGCAGCTAATTCAAGCAGTGATTATTGAAACATTCCAAAATAAGTTATTTTACATTTCCCTTTTACATTTCCCTCTCTAAAGTAACATGAAACATATCCTGAAGGCAAATTATTGTGAAAATGAATAGATTTTTCTCATCTTTTTAATAGTAGAGCCCACGATCATTCAAGGAAACTGAATGATAGAATATTTAGAAACAGGTATTGTATGAATGTTCTCTTTTTAAACTTTCAAAGATTATAAGAATATGCAATACAAGGTTATCAAAAGCTATTCTGGAATAGTGTCAGTATATTTCCAGAAGAGCTTTTCAAACCTGACATATGAAATTATGTATATGTAATATGCAAATAATGTGTTCCTGATATACAGAAAACTAATTCATTAGTATGTATCTTGTATATGGTCAAATTTAGCTTACATCTTAAACAAAATGTATCCAAACAAAACACTGATATCATTTGCTACCTACTAAATTCAGAAAACAAAGATTTAAACAAAAAGGAGCACTCAATTATTAATTGAACCAAGTAGCAATCCCAGTTTAAGGAATTTGTTTTAAAGTTTTTAAATACTCTACACAAATTTCTTAAAGAGCTTTTGAATAAATAAAATTTAAAAAAAAAGTCAGTCATGAGTTAAGAAGCAAGCTGAACTACCATCACCAAGATCAAAATTACTGTTTCCCAGAAAATAAGCCCTATCCCCATGGTGGTGAACCTGTGGCACGCAAAGCCCTCTCTATGGGCACGCGCGCCGTCGCCCCGTGTGCAAAAAAAAAAAAGGTTCAATCAATTTCAACTTCTCGCGGGAAAGAAAAACATCTCGCAAAGTTGGAATTGCTTGATTGAACTTTATTTTTGGTCCCACACAGCGTCGGAGGAAGTGACACATCAGAGCTGGAAAAAAGGTCCTGTGTGAGGGTGGGGGGAGCGGCAGGAGTAGGGCACTCCATGTGAGGGGTGGGGCGGGACCTGTTGCTTCCCTCCCCGCCAGACACCTGCCGAAGCCGTGCAGGGTAAGATTGCCACCCCTGCCCCCGCCCAGATGCCCTCACCTCCCCCAAGCGTTTTTTTACTTAATCTGCCTTTCAGCTGCATTCAGTTTCTCCATTCGCTTCTCAGCCTTCAGCACGTGTTTGTGGGACAAAAAAAAAGTTCCATGAGACTTTTTAACTTCTTGCGAGATCTCACGAGAAATTAGAAAGTCTCATGGAACTTTTTTTTTTTACCGATAGTCCCACAAACAAGTGGCGAAGGCTGAGAAACGGAGAAACGTAATGCAGCTAAAACGCTTGAGAGGAGGGGAGGGCATCTGGACGGGGGCGGCAACCTTACCCTGCATAGTAGCGGGAGGGTTAACAGCGGGGGCGGAGGGGGCAGGAGCTGCGCAAAGCAGACGGAGGGGAGGTCAGGCAGATTGCAGGTGCTGCTGGCGGGAGGCCAATTGCAGGCAAAAGAGGGACAGCCGCACAGGGCAGAGGCACTGCCCGGGGCTGGAGGGGATGCCGGGTAGATTGCGGGGGCTGGTGCAGAGGCCGATTGCAGGCGTGATGGGATAGCCGCGCAGGGCAGAGGCGCTGCCCAGGGCCATTGAAGAGCCGCTGCCACAGTTCTGCCCAGCTCCATTCCAGCCATGGGCAGTGCCTCTGCCCTGCGTGGCTGTTCAGCTCGCACCTGCGATGGGCCTCTGCGCCACCGCTGCAGAAGTCGCGCAATGGGGACATGTATCCGGGCAGCTCAGGCAAGAAGGTGGTGGGCTTCATAGGGCTGGACCCCGGCGCCGAGTCCTCCTGTGATGGGGCCCTGCTGATCGCTGGGTCCGAGGGCGGCGGCGGCAAACGCGGCTCAATCCTCAGCAAGCCGTTTGCCGCCTCCTGCCCAATGCCTCTGCCATGAGGCTGCGGAACAAGCCGGGAAGAGGTAAGAAACCGGGTTGGAGTGCCGGGAGAAGGGCACTCTGTGAGGATTGGATCCAACGCATGTGGAGCTGCTGCCTTGCTTTCCGTGCCATGCCGGGGCTGGACTGGGCACGAAGCATCTTCCCCGCGGACATCGGGAGCGCTCACCCCACCTACCACTCATCTCGGGGCACCTGCCGCCATCCCGTACTCTCCAGCCCATTGCCAGCCAGCCAAGCTTGGGCAGGTGGAGGCCAGAGGGAAGCGAGAGCCATGGCTGCCCGGCTCCTCTGCCTGAGGACGCATGCGGGGAAAGGCGTCGCATGGCTTGGTAAGCCGCGGTCCACCCGGAGGATAGAGGGCTGGCTGGGGATGAGCGCAGGGCTGCCCAGGGGGGGGAATCTGACCAGCCCCAGCCTGGAAGTGGGGGGAAGAGGCTGAGGGAGCCCAAAGGGAGGCATCCCGGCGACGGGCTGGAGAGCACGGGATGGCAGCAGCCACCCCGAGATAAGCGGTAGGTGAGATGGGTGCTCCCGATGTCCACAGGGGAAGAAGCCACGAGGCGGCTCCACACCCAGTCCAGCCCAGTCCCGGCATGGCACGGAAAGCGAGGCAGCAGTCCTATGTGCGTTCCCATGCGTGAACGCACCCCTGCCCTGCCAGGCAAGCGGAGCCGTGGCATCTTCAGAAGAGCACAGGCGGGCAGCGAAAGGCATGAGGAGCCCCTATCCCAGCACAGCCCCTCCCCACTCTCCCCCCCTCGGAAGAGCTGCGGGGCTCAGGAGCCTCCCTCCATGCCCCACACCCGCTGAGCAAGACGCCCTCCTGCCTACTGCCCCACCTGCCAGAGCAACATTGCGCTGGTGACGCCCACCCTGGCCACACTCACCCAGTCTGTCATGATCACCATAGCCATGCCCACCCGGCTATATATAAGTGGGTTTTGGGTTGCACTTTGGGCACTCGGTCTCTAAAAAGTTTGCCACCACTGTCCTATCCCGAAAATAAGTCCTAGCTTGTTATTTACATGTGCACTTAATATAAGCCCTACCCCTTTAAAAAAGCCCTAGTTAAGGCCCTGCCCACTCCGTCCCACCATCTGGTTGCACGAGGTGGGGCGAGGCGCACAAGTAAAAAGCTAGGACGGGGGTGGGAGATGGAGCTGCCCCACACGCCCTGCACCTGCTTACCTCAAAACTACCACAGCCAGGTCTCCCATGCCTCGATACCTGCCTTGTCTTGCGGGGCAGCACCAACAGCCCACGTGGCTGCCGCTGGCCCACTTCTTCTGTGTTGTGCCCCGGCCTCCATTTCACCGGCAAAGGCCTTTAGGAAAGGCCTCTGCAGCCCAGAATGGAGCTCCAGGATGACGCACTCCAGCTTCCATTTCGCCGGTAGAGGCCTTCAGGACAAGTGGCCACAGAAGAAGTAGGCTCGCGGTGGCCATGCGGGCTCCTTCTGGATGGGCCTGTTATTGCCGCCACCGTGAGCCGAGACAAAATAAGACTTAATGCCTCTTTTGGAGGCAAAAAACATATAAGACCGAGTCTTATTTTTGGGGAAACATGGTATTTTTGGAAAGAGGTGATGAAAAAATTGTCTACCTTTTGCTATTAATTCTACAAAATGATACCTTTAACCAATTATATTGTTAGTGAAAAGTTAACTATTCTGCAAGCTCATTTTCGACAGCAATAATATATTGGATGTATTAGTTTGTAAAATATTTTTTTTAGAGACAATCTATTATTTACTTTTACATATACATTTAGACAATGCTGGATTGCGTAATTTTGAAATAAGTGCAAGGCACTATATTCTGAGGAAGGGTATGTATCTCGTACTGAAAATAAAACTTTATATCTACATTTTAAAAATTCCAAAAGTATGCATACTTTCATTTTGTAAATTTAAAATGCAACAATAGCTCTGATTAACATATTAGTTAACTATTAAGATTGATCAACTAAGCATTATTTGACAATAATGAATTTTGTACTTGTCATTTCAAAGAATTTTAAAAACAAAACTTGTTGGGATTAGTTAATCATCTAAGGACAGCAAGGAAAGAACAAAGTTAGTTTACAGGTTTCACTGATATAGTTTTTCTTAACTGAGGAAAAAGTTCATCATTACAAAAGCTATTAAACCATAAAAAAGAAAAGAATCTGAAGCAATTTCAGCTCCAGATTAGATATTAATTTTTTGTGACAAATTAATGGAAGATAATATATCTATACATACTTGGGTTGTTGAAGTATATTTATGCAATGATATATCTGACAATAAATTTCTCTACTCTTGTCTAAAATGTCTGTTGGAATGTCAGTGCACAATTCAGTTGTTAAAACTTACCTCCTCAAAGAAAGTTGTATTTCATATGCATAGAAATATGAATTACATAAAGTATTTTAGACTTAATAGTACACTCATGAACAAATGTATGAAACATTGCCTTTCAAATAAATATGAGAATAGGTTTCCAGATTTAATTGAAAAACGTAGCAATGTTAGAAGCATGCACTTCAGTTGTTAAGAGGGAGTGGGAACACACAGCTATTTCACTGGACAAAAATTATTTTTGCTTACTTTATTGTTGTTTGCTGTATACAATTAAGGATGTGCAGTAAACACACCATAAGAAAACCCCCCAGAAAAATCATTTTGAAAGAAAAAACAAATATACTTAACATAGACCAATTAAATTGTACAAAGATATGGGACTGGCTTTGATTTCAAAGTTTCAAAACAAATTAAAGGGTGAAATGCAACAGCTGTTTGACTTCCAAGTCTAAATAGGCACTGTAAAAATAAAATTTAAAAGTTGTCATTTTCTTCAGCACATGTCCCCAACCTAAACATTGCCAAACATGTTCAGTTCTCAAGAAGGAACTGAGAACGCAATCTTCTGGTGGTAATAAAAGCCTGGAACCCACTCAACCTCTTTAAAAATGATTCAGTGCTGCTGTTTGAAAGAATAAAATTAGAAGAGCTTATAAAGTTTTGAAAGCATCCAAAGCAAAGAGCACACTATAGTTTTGTTCACTATAACCTGTATTGGAGAATAAAACATTTAAATCTATTATGTTGGTACATAAACCTGGTATCTTGAAGATAGATCTTTGAAAATATGTCTTATAAGTTTACTGGAAGAGAAGAAAAAAGGAAACTGCTTCATTTATCATCAATTGAGTTATCATCAATGGAAACGGATCAATTCAGACTTCATTATAACCATATTTATACACTGTACATCTATCCTAGATGGATAAACATTGGAATTGCTCACTGGTGTCCCTTTTAATAACTGTAAACTAAACCACAGTATGCAACTTCATAGGAAGGTAAAGGATCAAGTGAATGTACAGCCAGTTATATCTCTCCTGCTTCACGCTCCTCTGAGCTTCTCCTGTCTTCTGATCTACCATTTGCACTTTCATAAGATCGCTTCTTTTCTTTGCAGTTTCGATCTCTTGGAGACTTTTCTCTGGGGCAACTTTCTTTGTCACATGATGTTCTGTTACGATCTCTGGTTCGTTCTTGATCTCTGGAAGATCTTTCTTTTGATGATCTGAAGAAAAAGTTAATGCATCTGAAAATGTATATTACTTTCATTTGATTTTAACTGTTCATTCAGCTTACCAGAGCATAAAACAGCACAATTATCACTGTGTATCATTTCCAAAACTGGAATGGAAAGAACAAAGAGCCTAACATAATTAGAACAAATATTAAACTGAAATCACTAATTTTATTTTGCAAGAGTTTAAAAGTTGAGAAAGTCAAATGAGTGCTATCCATTGTAATTTTCTTATAGTAATAAAAAATATGGACGCTATTGTTTAAAGTGTCACCAATGTACAGAATGCTTCAGCTACCACAAATGATGCAAATCCACAGTGCGACAGACTCAACATTTAAGTAACCTGCTTATAAAAATTAAAGCTGACCTTGGAGATCACATCTGAAGCTTTGACTAAGTGAATAAACAGACAAAAGATCAAAAGAAAAAAATGGGTTTTGAAATGTAATTTCAAGGAAGATGAATGCTGAAAAAATGCCTAGGACTTGATTAATTCACCTGAGACTGGCTTGTAAACAGAAATCAATAAGCACAATCACATAACCAAGTTTAATTCTATCAATTCTTGTAATACTGCAATTTATTTCTATAGTTTTGAAGACCTTCGTTTGTAAAATTACTACTTCAGATATTTAACTTTATTACCTATTTTAATTAGGTAAATGAAGACTAAAGACATACTGAATATAAATTGATATAGCACATTTAAATGAGTTGAAATTATTCAAGACCCAAAATAGAATATAAAACTAAAAATATTTGCTAAATTAAATTTAAAAATGTTACAAACCAAAATCATGGTAGGAAATTGATATTTAGACTACACTCACACTCACTTTTTGGTATTGCTTTTGAATTTATTGATGTTATTGGTGTTCCCTTCCAGGTAGATAAATGTAGAATTTTATATTAAACTCTTAAAAAAGAATTTGCCACAAAATATCTACAGAATTCCATTTCAGTCTACAGCTATCTCTCAACTTATGACTGGTTAACAACTGTTCAAAGTTACAATGGCCTTGGAAAAATGGACTTACACAATGTACTCGCATTTACGGCTGTTGTACCCCCCTTTGGCCATGTGATCACAATTCAGCACTTGGCCAATCTGCATTTATGATTGGTTGCATTCTTTGGGTCATGTGATTGCAATTTGCTACCTTTTTTATCAATTTCAAGCAAAAGAAAACCCATCAGGGAAGCTGGATTTGCTTAATGACCATATGATTCATTTAAAGACAGCTGTAAAAATTGTTGTAAAATCAGGTCCAACTCAATTTATGACTGCACAACTTACAATGGAAATTACCAGTCCCAATAGTGATCTTAAGTCAATGACTATCTGTTTTCTGTTCAGTTTCCCACGTTTTTCCAATTTGACCTAGTTTTTTTATTGACAAGTGAGAATGCTTATAGAGTGAGGGTTAGGGGGTGAATTTGACTCCTGAGATTTCTTCCCACTTCTGAAAACCTTATGAATCTTCCAAGCATGTTGATTTCCTTGTTTGGTTAAGCTACCCTAAATTTGCACCTGAGTTGACTATAATTAAAAAAAACTTTGAAGTACACTATTCCAATGCACCTATAATAAACAAAATGGAAAAAAAAAACTCAGCTACTGTTTAAGATAGATAGATGGCTTAGGCCCTAGGTGCAATCTTTTCTGTTCAGAAGCTAACAAAATGGCAACTGCTCATTAAAATATTACCTTTTTTTGGAATTGCGTTCTCTGCTTCTGTCTCTGGAGCTATGCCTGCTCCTATGGTGACTTTGACTACGGCTGCGACTAGTAGAACGAGACCTATGATGATGTCGCTTTTCACGAGACCTGGAACGGGTTCTTTTCTTTCGTTCACGAGAGGATGACCGAGATCGATGTTTACGGCGATCTCGGGATCTAGATCTGAAAAAAAATTATAGAGAAGAAGAAATCCTCAATAATTCAATTAATCCCTAACAATTCTATTAGGCCAGTCCTACAAGGAAAATATCTTACTGGAACAATCTCTTTTGCCAAGATTTTGAATAGTTTGGAGGCTTCTGGAATATTTTACATGAAATAAGAAGTTATCTAATACTGAAGTTTAAAAAATGGCTTGAAGTTTAATCAATGGTGGTCGATTAAAAACAAATAAAAACAATACTCGTTACTTGCCACTGGCAAGACTATGGCAGATATACCCTACCATTAAGCGGACACGTCACTGAGGAATTTGTAACTTAAAATAAGTCACAAGAAATTAAAATAGAACACATTAGACTTTCACTGGTTTAAAAACAGTAATCAATTCAATTAAATAACAGCAACTACCTAATCTTGAATGATCTTCTACAAGCTGTTAGCCCCAGGCAGCACTTGAAAGAAAGACGCCACCTCCGCTCTGCCACCTGCCTTGCCCGGATGGGCCCAGATTTGGCCCCCGGGGCCACCCTGGAAATGGTGAGGGACTGGCCCCTGCTGGTCCAGCCTGGCTGGGCACCCCCCAGTGAACGCATGGGGGTCGATGGCAGCAGCTGCAGCCCACCAAACCCTCAGCTGGCACACTCTAGGGCTCTGCAGCCCACTGCAATAATCGGTCAACCCTCCAAGCAGCAGGTGCAGTGGCAGCACCAGGTACGGGAGGGTGGGAGGCACGTGATCCGGCCCACTGGATGCGCCTGCTCCATCCCACCTTCTGTCTTTGCGGAGCCACCATGGCTGGGATGGGACATGCCTCCCCCTGTGCCTCTGTGCCTGCTGCTTAAAGGGCTCCCCCCGGTGGTTGCAGTGGGCTGCGGAGCCTCATCGTGCCGGCCAAGGGGCCGGCGGGCTGCAGCCAGACACCATTGACTCCCATGCATTCACCGCCTCCTGTGCATGTGCCAGGAGTGCGTGGCTGTGCCGGCCCGGCCCCACTGTCTCCCGGGCAGCCCCGGGGACCAAATCTGGACCCATCCGGGAAGATGAGGCAAGTGTCCGGCGTGGCGCCACACTGTGCCCCTGCACACTTGGCTCCCGCCGTCCAACTTTGTCCTCCAGCAAGGGCCCCATGAGCTCAAGGGCCAGGCTGGGTGTCCCCACATGTGGCCCGAGAGGGTTGGCGAGGTTCCTAGGATGGATCAGGCCCCGATGCCCACCCTGGTCCCACTCCCCTCTGTAGGAGACCCCTCAATGCAATCGAGTTTGACACCCCTGCACTAGTACATTAGCTAGTGATACTGCACTGGTTACTACCATGTTTCTCCGAAAGTAAACCCTACTCAAAAAGTAAGGCCCAGCTGATTTTTGAGGGGTGGGCCTAATATAAGCCCTCCCCCGAAGTAAGCATTAGCGTGGGGCAGGGCAAATAGGCCCAGATCTTCTGTGTGGCTGCCAGAATGTCACACCCCCCCCCGCCGCTGGCCTGCCAAGGCCCTTCGCCAGCGGCCACTGGTGGAATCGGCTACCACTGGCCCCGCCCTCTCTGTCCCACCATCTGCTTGCCTGCAGCCGCAACAAAAAACACCCTTGGCAAGCCCCGGCCTCCGCCTGCCCTGCCTGCTGGCCCTACTGCTGGGACATTTCTTGGCCGCGCTGGGTACCGCGCGGCCGCCAAGCGGCTGCCCATGCTGCTGGCCTCGCGGGTCTCTTTGCCCTCCTAGCCGTGCTGGTCTGAGCTGCCCTGCTGGGCTATTCCTGCCTGCCGTAGGGTGAGTTGCCCCAGATCTTGTGTGACCGCCAGAGCGCCCCCCGCCAGCCTGCCAGGGCCCTTCACCAGGACCAGTAAAACTGCACCACCCACGCCTCTGCCTTTGGGCTGGTGAATGCTGCCAGCCTGCATGCCTATTTGGTACTGCAGGTGCCAGGCTAAGGGCTGAACCTGGAGCTCTTTGGGTCCTGGCGGGCACTTCACCTCTCATACCGGCTGGGCACTTCTGGCCTCTACCAGCTGCTCCTGCCAGATTGCCTTCTGCCTGGCCGGCGGTTGCCACTGCCACCATGAGCTAAGAAGGCAAAGCAGGTGGCCAGGGGGGTGGAGTTTCCTTTCCTCTGCCTGCCAGACACCTGCTAAAGCCGCACAGGGTAAGATTGCCACGCTCCCCTGCCCAATGCCCTCGCCTCCCCAAGCATTTTTTTACTAACCTGCCTTTCAGCTGCATTGCGTTTCTCCTTTTGCTTCTCAGCCTTTGCTGCGTGTTTGTGGGACAAAAAAAAAAAAGTTTAATCAGACTTTCTAACTTTTTTTTGTCCCACAAACACGCAGTGAAGGCTGAGAAGCGAACGGAGAAACGCAATGCAGCTGAAAGGCAGGTTAGTAAAAAAACGCTTGGGGAGGCGAGGGCATCTGGGTGGGGGGGCGTGGCAACCTTACCCTGCGCGGCTTCAGCAAGTGTCTGGCAGGTTAAGGGAAGCACCCGCTAGGGCCCAAAGAGTGCCAGGTTCAGCCTTTAGCCCGTCGCCTGCAGCATCGAGTAGTCATGCAGGTGAAGGGCAAAGAGCCCCGCAAGGCCAGCAGCTAGGGCAGCCACTTGGCGGCTGCACGGCACCCAACACGGCTGAGAAATGTTCTAGCAGCAGTAAGGCCAGCAGGCAGGGTGGGCAGAGGCCGGGGCTTGCCAAGGGTTTGGTTAGTTGCGGCCGCAGGCAAGCAGGTGGTGGGACTGAGAGGTTGGGGCCGGCAGTAGCTGGTTTCACCAGCGGCTGCTGGCGAAGGGCCCTGGCAGGCCAGCAGGGGGGAGCGCTCCGGCGGTCGCATGGAAGATGTGGGCCGACTCACCCAGTGCCAGGCTCGGCGCCCTTTCCGCCACCGCCCACCACGGCCACACCAGTACCATACTTGGTCCGCCACCACACTCTCACAGCCACACAGGCCCCGCCTCACCCCTACTGGTGCCAGTATCGGCAAAAAGTAAGCCCTCCCTGAAAGTAAAAACTTCTGCTTATTTCAGAGCCTAAAAGAAAGTAAGACTTACTTTCAGGGAAACATGGTAGTTTGCTTTTAGGTCCAATTCATAATGCTGTGTATGACTTTTAATGACTTGAATAGTTTAGATCACAGACACTTTTTCTAAATCTGTTTATGGGCTCTCTGAAATCTGGTGTCAATCTCTATCTTCCACGAGACAAGAAATGACTTTCTTAATGGCTGGACCCATAATATGGCACTTCTAGCTCAGGAAGATTAACTGGCACTCCAAGGCTTACAGAATTATTTCTCAAGTATTTACTGTATATAATTATCATAGTATTAAAAAAATCACAAAACCTTTCTTTCTTTAAAGCAAACCCATTGTGATTTTTTTGTACTTTCTTAATGTTTGATAGATATAACTGTTTATATTCACAGAGAAAAAAGAACATCCAACCTTTTGGGGTTCTTGCTGTGAGAACGAGATCTAAACACAAAAAAAATAAAGATAAGTTTATAGAAATTGCAAATGGAATTATCACCTGCACTATTAAGATGTCTTACAGAACATAACCAGACATTTGTAACAAATTGGGGCTTTACTTGTTCAAATGTCTTTAACTATTCAAATAATTTATTCCAGGGAATCTTTTAAAGGGAATAATATATCAAATGGTTTATCTCACATTAATATTGCTATAGATGATATAAAATCTTAATAAACATATTGGTAAATATAAATATAAACATTATTTTAAGACTGATGTGTGTATTTAACATTTATTTATATTTTTATCAAATTTAGAAATTGCCCATCTCCCTCACAAAGCAATTCACATGCTAATGAAAACATTCAAAAGTCTATGTGCATATTTTACTTCATCAAAGGAAAACATTTTGCATGCTAAAGGCAAAGTTCTGGGGGAACAACAAGCTAATATTTAATTTCAGTTTTATTTTTAGCAGCAACTTGAAGCTATGGGATCAATGTCTACTTATGCAAGAATTTTAATTATAAAAGCAAAATCAAAGAATAGACTGTTAGACAATAAGTAATAGAGTTTCACCTTCTTAACTTCTCTCTTTCTTCTTTCTCCCTTTCTTCTCTCCGCTTTAAACGTTCCTGATTTCGTTTCTCTTGCTTGTCAGCCACAACTCTCTAAAATCATTATAAAAATAAAGATAAGAAATTTCAAATATTGAAATATAATATAAACCAGGAGTCCATTATTGGGCCTTGAGCCCTTCTGAACTGGGCCACAGAAGTGGCAAGCCAGCACAGGGGTGCATTTCCGCTTGCACAAGGACGGGCGAGCATGCACATGTGCTACATTTGTGCAAACGGGGCACACCACTCACGTGGAAACATCCCCTCTTTGTGGACCAGCAACCAGGGTTGCTGGTCCACAAAGCCAGAAAGGTTGGGGAACTCTGATATAAACCATTAAGAATATATATTTATGAGACAAAGTTCCTTTTTCTCACCAACTGGCAGCATTATTCTAATCTGATAGCACTGCAGGTTACATATATCATATAAAAATATAGGGAACATGCATACTGTCACAATATTATTGCCAATTACTTTACCATCATTTTTATAAACGTTAACTGCACTCACACTCAGGGAATCATAATGAAAAGAGCAAATTAATTTTGGTCCATAGCTACCAAAAATTAAAATCTAATCACATAGAATAACCAAAAGCAGCAGGAAAATAAATGACCATAAATAAAACTGGATGTACTTGCTAGTAATGTCAAAGTCAGGCTATAAAACAATATAATTCTTTTCATAAATATATACTAATAGTTTTTCTAGATCAAGGTATGGTCATCTTAATCCACCATTTTGTTTCATATTATAGACTCTGAAGTGCTCAGAAGCAATAGATAGACTAGATCAGTGATGGCGAACTTTTAGAGACCGAGTGCCCAAACTGCAACCCAAAATCCACTTATGCATCGTTGGGTGCCGGGTGGGTGTGGCCCATTGGGTGGGCGTGGCTACGGTGGTAACAGCAGACTGGGTGGGACTAAAAAGTTCAATCAATCAATTCCAACTTTGCAAGATCTTTTTTTTCCCAC